AAGACTCCTAGATATAATAAATAAATTCAGTAATGTAGCTGGATATAGAATCAATACTCAAAAATCAATAGCATTCCTATACACTAACAAAGTCACAGAGAGAGAAATAAGAGAGGCAACACCCTTTACACTAGCAACCAAAAAAATGAAATATTTAGGAATTACTCTCATGAAAGAAGTGAAAGACCTATATAGGGAAAATTATAATACACTGAAAAATGAAATTGAAGATGATCTCAGAAAATGGAAAGACATCCCTTGCTCATGGATAGGAAGAATAAATATTGTGAAAATGGCCATTCTCCCAAAACTTTTATACAGATTCAATGCAATTCCGATAAACATACATCAACATACCTCATAGAACTCGAGAAATCACTCCTAAAATTCATCTGGAGCGAGAAGAGACCTAGAATAGCAAGGACAGTTCTAAGCAGCAAAGGCAAGGCGGGAGGTATCACAGTCCCTGACTTGAAGTTATACTACAAGGCAACTGTAGTAAAATCAACATGGTACTGGAGCCAAAACAGAGCCGAAGATCAGTGGAATAGATTAGAAGACACAACCACAATTACAAACACACTCAACTACCTTAACTTTGATAAAGGGGCCAAACATGTTCACTGGAAGAACGACAGTCTTTTTAATAAATGGTGTTGGAAAAACTGGCTCTCCATGTGCTGAAAACTAAAACTAGACCCATGCCTATCACCATGTACTAAAATAAAATCTAAATGGATCAAAGATATGAATATTAAAACAGAAACACTAAATCTATTGGAAGACAAATTGAAGACATAGGAGTAGGTAAAGAATTCATGAACAGGACTCAAACCGCACGGGAAATACTTCCCAGAGTCAAAAACTGGGATCGCCTCTTATTAAAAAGTTTCTGCACATCAAAAGAAATCTCCAGCACAGTGAAAAGAAAACCCACAAACTGGGAAAAAAATCTTCGTGAACTGCCCCTCAGACAAAGGACTTCTGTCTAAAACATATAAAGAATTAAAAAAAATCAGACCCCCAAAATTCAAAGACCTAATCCAAAAATGTGCATCTGAGATGAATAAACAATTTTCAGATAAAGAAATACAAATGGCAAACAAATACATGAAAAAATGTTCGCCATCACTGGTCATTAGAATAATGCAAATTAAAACCACACTGAGATTTCATCTCACTCCTGAAAGAATGGCCAAGATCAAGAAAACCAACAACAACAAATGCTGGAGAGGCTGTGGGGAAAAAGGAACTCTCGTGGGAGTGTAGACTAGTGCAACCACTGTAGAGGTCAGTCTGGAGATTTCTCAGAAAGCTGGGACTGGAAACACCATTTGACCCAGATATTCCACTTCTAGGCATATTCCAGAAGAACTGAAAGCATCATACCACAGTGATATATGTGCACCCATGTTTATAGCAGCACAATTTGTAATAGCCAGATCTTGGAAACAACCTAAGTGTCCATCAACTTAGAAATGGATAAAAAAGTTGTGGTATTTTTATGCAATGGAGTACTACTCAGCTATAAAGAATGATCACATTGAGATATTTATAAATAAATGGACGCAGCTTGAGACCATACTCATAAGTGAAATAAATCAAACTCACATGTATAAATACCGAATAATTTCCCTAGTGTAAGAAATGATAAGAATACATAAAAGTATGTGGTAACATGATTCTCAATCATATTGGTTTGAATCCATATGTTATCACTCATTAATTGCAATGGTTTTAACCTGGGTTGTTCGATTTTAGTATCGGTGATAGTACGAATAGCTATTCTGAAGAAAACAACACATCATAAAAGCTAGTGCTGATTTAATATCATCTTGTTTTGAAGTCCCATCAAGCTGTTGTACATCTGTTTCCACTAGTTTCAACATGTGGTATCTTACTATATTTTACTATATGCGATAGTATAAACAAAATTTTTTATAGGCAAAGAGATAATATAAAAACCGTTGTTTGTTTTCTGTTAACTGGTTCTAAATACCCTGTAACTTCTTCAATCTCTTGAATAGCTTCAGACTGTCTTGATATGCTTGATGCTATAGTATATGAAGTTATACTCAAATAATACAAGGAAGGAGGCACTATGGTGACTACTATTATGTTAGAATATCTGGGGGTAAAACACAATGATGCTTAAATTGTTCGGTTCTGACTTGTGTTGTTCTACTACAATGTCCTCTTTTATCTCAATCTCCACCCTTTTAAAAATTAATCTATTTTTTCTTACATTTTTTTCAATTAAGGGAAAACTAAATTTAAAAATAGTGGGATATATTATAGTAATTTTTTTGTTTTCCTATTAACCTGATATGAACCCCAGTATTGCTCTCCCCAGTATTGTTCTGTCAGATTTTACTATATTCTATTTTGTCTGATAGTATCAAGTTTGAGGGTATAGGCAACCACTTTGAAGGCAATAAGATTCACTATGATGCCCATTATGGTTTGACTATTATCTTCTTTTGAAACCCTGTAAGGTCTCCAGTGTAGGTTTTATTGGTCTTGTTCTGTACTGTTTTGATCAATTCTATTATACCTGATGATATAGGCAACTTTAAAAAAAAATAGCAAGAGGCACAATGGGTACCCATTTTTGATCACCTGATATTCTACTTTTGCATCATGTACTATGCCCATCCTTCTGTTCTAACCGACTCTGTTTTGTTTAGTCACGTTAGGTTTTATTCTTTTCAAAAAAAGTAACAACTGTGGGAGTAAAAAAAACCCCAAAAGTGTAATTGTTATTAAAAAGAGACGAAAGGAAGGTGGTCTAAGGGATATAACTGCATGTATGTTTGAGTGTGTAGGATGGAAATCCATATTACTGAGCTTTTGTTGGATCATTGAATGGCACTCACTGCAATCTCACTGTATGTATACTTTATATGCTTTAATTTTATAATTTGGACAACTGTTTCTAAGATGACAATATGTAACCTATTAACTAGTGATATCTTACTATATTTTTTTCTTGAAATTCTGTATTATTTGTACCCTTTTACTGCTTTGTTTTTTTTATTTCCTTTCTTTTTTCTCTTTAAATAAAAAAATATAAATTCAAGGATAATAATCTTAAATTTGAATTGGAATGTCATTGTGAACTCATCTTTCTTTCTTTTTTGGTACCATGGATCAAACTTGCGACTGTGTGCTTGCAAGGTAGGTGCTTATGCCACTGAGCTAAATTCCCAGCCCCGAACTCATCTTTCAAAAAAATACATTTCCTATCTGCCTACTGAAAAATTGAGAAGCTATGATCAGCTGGTAGAAATATGCACCCCAGCACACTTTAGCATCCAGGTCATGGTCTTCAAATACCATTGATGCTAAATGAAAGCAAGGCCCATGCTGGAGCTTGGGTAGGAAGAGGCAAGTGGATCCTAAGATATCTTGCACATCAGAAAGAAAAGAAGGCATGGAACACAAGTGCCCTCATGTTAAGAGGCCAGGACAAGGTGAAGAGTTTCGCAGGCTAAATGCATGAATTTGAGTTAGAGAAAATACTGACTACTCATACTTGAAACACACTACACTTCTTAAAAACCTATGCTTCATAATAATAGGAGAATAGAAAGCAAGAGAAAAGGAAGGAGGGAGGGAGAGAAGGTAGAAGGAAGGTAGGAAGGATGATTTCTGTCTTTCCATAGGCTTGTCTGGCTGACATAGAATTCTGAAGCTTGTGGGGAGCATGGCTTGACAGCAAGCATGGTGGTTTGCCACAGTGGGGCCCTCAGTCACTAGACCATACCATAGGCTTCTACTGTCCTGAGAGCACTTGCCTAGCTCTCATGCTGAGAGACTGCTAGGTGCAGAATTGGTTTTCATAAGATACAATGATTTCCCTAAATTTCTTTTCTAAGAGTTTCAAAGTTTGCTTCTATTACTTTGTTTTCATTCACTGGGGATTGATTTTCTTGATTGGATGTGAGGTGGGAAGAACTGTTATTTTTCTTACATACATAATTGTTTCAGCTCCATTTATGAATCAGTCCTATTTAGATGCTTCACACTGGGAGGATCCTATGTAGATTTCCAGAAACATTTGCTTAATGAAACTTTTGAAGATGCATGTAGGATTTGTTCTCTAACTTATGGCCAATTTCCAGAAGTGAATTGTCTTACAATCCAGTACAAGTATAGTCATGAAAGTCACTGGGATTTTACTACACACAATAACTATTTTGAAACTTTACTACTCTTCCTCATAATTTGTCTTTTCATTTTTGCCTGCTTTTATAGGAGCATGAAGCTGGCAGATTGTGTTATCCATTCACAGATTATTAAGCCCACTCATGCTTGCTATGGCCCTTGGTTTTGAGTCTTTTCTGTGGTCTACTTTGGGATCTCGTGTGATCAGCCTAGTCTCTCTACTCACGTCCCACCTCTGTGCTGACTTACTGGCCACCTCCTGTCCCCCAAACACAACCCACAAGCTCCTTCCCAGAAGCTAGTAGTCCTTTCTCCCAAAAGAGAACATTGCCCTCTATAACAGAAAGTTTGTCAGGATATGCTTAGGGCTGTATCTCCCAAGCCTAGAATAGTGCTTGGAGATACAACACAGCTTAGAAATGTTGCTAAATTAATGCATATTCTATGAGAGACAAATTGCATAAAATAACTAGTCCCATTTATATATTTGGTAGCTAGCTAGATATAGAATTTTTAAAAAATGCTTTCAAATTCTGGGTTCCTATTTTGAAACACAATTTGAATTTTATCCCTCTCTGTTACATTTTTATATCACTTAATAGGACTCTGGCCCAGCATCTTGTTTTCCACTGATGTTCACCATCCTATCCCCCGCATCTGCAATGACTTGTCCCTGCTTTTCCTCTTCTAAGCACAACTCCTTTCCCAACTGCCCCTAGGTCTACACTTGCTGCTACTGAATTGTTCTGCAAAGCATCACTCCCCTGTCTCTCAAGGACAGTGTTAGAGGTGCTCTTTGGAAAGCCCAGTGCCCAGTTTTATGAGCCATGTACCTGCCCTTCCACAATCCACCTGGAGATGGACGTCTTTCCATCGTAGCCTGGTCGGAACTGAAGTGTGGCGGAGCGAGGGCTGATGTTGGAAATGACCAGGTTGGATGGTGCACCAGGAAGGTCTAGAGAAGGATGAAGGAGGCAAGTTGAGAGTTAAATTCTATCACTAATTATGATAGGTATCATAACTTGTCAGCAAGGAAACAGTTTCAACATTCTGTCTTCAAAAAAGGATTTGTTTTAAACTTGTAGAAGTGATAAGCAGCAGGGTTTCCCCTGGATATCAGCAAGCATGACTTTCAACAAGTCATCCAAGGCTCAGGCCTTCTGATATGGCTTTAGGAGACACATGCCTTACTCATCTCTGAATATAAAAGGTAATTAATAGGTTCTTGTTGAATGCATTTATACTAATTATTGAGTCTTGAAATGGTACCAAAAGTTGGGAATTTCCCTCCCTCTCATTATTCCCATGATGCCTTGGATGTTGGGATGGGGGAGGTGATATTTGCAGGCAGCATGACAAAGCAAGGGTTCAGGTCTTGAGCCTCAGGATTCTTGGGTCTGGTTTCCAGGACAACTAAATGCAGTTGACAGTGCAGAACTCTTCCTACTGCCTGTATTTGGTTGCTCTGGCAACAAGATAAGATGGCAGGCGGGTCCCATCACCCAGGGCTTCCTATGGCTTCAACTTACTCATAGACAGAGATCCTCCAGGGGCTTCTCCCCCAAAGAGCCTATGCTGCTCAGAAATGCAATACTGGGTGCTGAATATGAGAGATTATGTCATTGTGCAATGATAAATACTCAAGAGAAAGACAGCAGGATGAGATGAAGAAACTAAAACATGTTGGAAACTGCTTTTTGCCTGCAGTATACCTGAGGAGTGACTTTCTAACTTGCACTGCTGGGGGAGTCTGAAGGCAAATCTTGCCCAATGACAATAAAACCACTTTGCCAGTCAGTTTGGTATTGGAAAAGGCAGAGTCTCTAGGATTTTAAAGGCCCTCTCAAATATAGTTTAATGAATTTGAAGCAGGAAATGTTTAAATCAGAGTACAGGTGACTGTTCTTTGTATTCCTCAGCTCTCTGGGCTTTCAAATTTTTTCATTCACTAATGGATATAAATCTCAAGCACAGCAGACAGAATGTGGTACCCCAAAAAGGATTGGGAATGCACAATGTTTATTATGCTGGTACTCAGAACACTCAGCCTGTTTAAAACCACTCTTGCTACCATGATCTGTCCTGTAAATGCAGAACAGAAATGCTTTCACCTTGCTTCATCTGGGCTATCAAAGTTTTCCACAGTACACTTGGGTCTTCATTTCCCCTCTAATCACACTCCCCTTTATGGACTGCAGTAATGCTGAACACAGAGCCTTCTGGAGGCTAGCAGGCCCATCTCCCTACCTAGGATGGACAATTTGCAAGCCATCCTAGGAAAAACCTGGTAACTTGCACAAGATGCACTTCCAATCTTCCCCTCAGTTGGAGTACAAGGTCCTTTAATAACAAATTAAACAGTATGCCATTGGCATCACTACCATTGTGAAAGTACTAATGCTATTTCAAATATGTGCTTTGGGAAGTGGATTTAAATACTTCAAGTGTGTGTTATGGGAACAGGCTATTGTGTAACATAAATGGGAAAAAATCTCTCTGAAAATTGAAGACTTAAAACAATGCTGAATTGCTTTAGCCCATGGGCCTCCAGGTGCAGTGCTTGGCCAACAGCAGGAATATTGCTGAGAGCTTGTTCCAGTGGGATATCTGGAGGCTCACCCAGCTCCATGAATTAGATCCTCAGGCTGGGACCAGCTCCCTGCGGCATGGCTGACCCATGAGTCTGGTGTATGAGGCAATATGAAGCCATTTCTTTCAGGAGGATGGTGGCCAGTGTCTACAGGGAGACAAAAAGGCTTACTCAAGGTGCCCCTGATGACAAAGAGTGACCTGGGTTTAGAAGCCTCTTCCAATATACACCACAGAAGACACAGTACCCAGAGGAGTGCCCAGATGGCCAAGGCTGAGTATCGCCTTTAGTGTGGCCTCATGCCAAGAGGTAAGAGATAGGAGACATGTGGGCACTCGTGAGTTTATTTTTCACTGCACACATCTTATTTGTTTTGTATGCTCTCAAGATCATCCGTGCCAGCTTCCTAGGAAAATAAGCAGTTAGGACAACTGGCTGGAAGTGGGAGAATGCCGAGACAAATGCTGACTTTACAGAAGTCTTTCTAGCCCTTATGAATGAGGCAGTCTGACTTTTCTCTAAGATCTGGATATGGCAATCTGACATCTTCTAAAGGGCAGAAGACTCATGGCTATAATTAAGAGTTGAACTGACTGCCCCATGATACTTTCTCACCTTTTCGGGCATTTGTGAACTCTCTGGAAATAAACATCCGTTTTAAAACATAAACTTTCTAAAGTTGAAATGGGCATGCTGACATTTAGGGAGATAATCTAAATTTCAAAAGGACATTATGACAGGTGTAAGGTATACTTGTCCCGAGGAGCAAGCTTGGCACTGTGGCTTGTACATGGGAACTCAGGCCCAGGGCAGACCCTTCCCCTTCTTCTCTGCCATTTCTTTCTCTTCCTCTTACTTACTGCTCTTATTGAAAACCTCAGTTCTTACTGTTTTGTTAGGTGAGTAAATCTCTGTGCTTCTTATTCTCAATTGCAATCTAAGTAGTTCCTATGTCCCTCTGTCAAAGGGACATAATGGTTGCTCACTGGTGACCACTGGAAGTCAGGAGTCTCAGTTTTCCCAGACCACACTGGGCCTCGTGGAGTTCAGGTCTCTCCTTTTCCTCTAGTGTGTTTCCTCACCCACACTCACAGGAGAGACAGTAAGTTGTGTGAGATGTGCTGGAAAGTGAGGGAGAAGGTAGGTCAATGTTACTTACCCCGGCACACCCTAGTTTGACACCCTGCCCTGTCCCAGGTACTGGGTAGCTCCTGCATGGAAATGCCATCAATTGCAAATGTTGGTCCCCTCTGCTGGAAAGGCACAGGCAGTAGCGAGAATGCCAGGATCCTACTGACCTGGGGGCACTCCAGAAGAGATGGTGGAGGTGGTGACCAGGCCCATGCCCGCAGCCGTCACTGCAGCAACCTCGATGGTGTAGGTGGTGAGGGATGACAGACCTCGGATTTTGTATTCATGGGTCGTACTGTTGAGAGTGTGTGTGAGTCGAGAATCATTCTTCCCATATACCTCCCAGGAAATCCGATAGCCTGAAAGGACACACAAGAGTGAATCAGGGTCTCTGCCAGGTTGAGAGGCAGGGCTGATGCCATGCAGTCATTGTGGCAGATTTGAGAAGGTGGGGATAGAGGCTCAGCATGGTATACGACAACCCACTGCCTCCAAAATGCAATTCTGAGTCAGGGTTCCTTCTTTTGTACTCCATGGAAGGCTCACCTGTCCCCCTTCTAGTACCAGGGTAGCTTGTTCTCTATGGTAAGACACAGAAGACTCTGGAGGAGAGGACCTGGGTAATATTTGGAAAGCTTCATGCTAGTATCTAGAATGAACAATTGTCAACCCACTGTACCTCGTTAGCCTCTGCTTGTCAAGTTATGGATGCATGCCACCAGTATTTCCATTTTTATGAGCTGTTATTTTTATCACATGGTGCCCTAAATCAGGGGCTTGCTCTTGGGTCACAGCTAATTTGTGGAACACTTCTATTTTTCCCTTTATGGAGTGACTGACAGATGATTCTTGGAGTTTGCGAAGTGTTTTGCCTAGAAAAGTGTCTTTTCACCTGTGCACATGAGTTTTGCTACTAGCCCTGCCTCTCCCTTTTTTGAATATCCTGTTTTTCTGCTAAAATTTAATTCCCCTCTGTACTCTATTCAGTCTGGCGGGGCCTCATAATCACAATTTATTCAATCTTAGATTCCATCGTGATTTGGGACTTGGAGAAAAAATACTCAACTAGTGCCTGAGTCGACCCCTCGGCAGGAGTTTATGTTGTTAGAGAATGCTTAAAGTGTCTTCCAAAGAAAAAAGCAGTGATGGAAAGAGCTCCTGGGTCCTTGGGCAAAGGAAAACTGCTGAAAATGCATACTCTCCCTTCTTTTCGGTCGATACTTGGGCGACACTAAAGCACTGGGCACAGCTCAGCTTCCTTCCATTCTGATGAAAGCAATAAATAAAGCTAGAAAGTTGCATTTGCAGGTGAACAAGAATTTAAGGAAAGTATCTTGGGACTTTAATATTTTGAAAGGACAATTAATGTTAGTACCTACTCCTGGCTCACTATCTCTACCACTATCATACACTGCAGAGATCAAATGAGCTGACAGGAACTCTGGTCTGGGGTAGAACAGCTGGGAATAGCAAAGGGTGAAAGGCACAGAGAAGCCACCTGGCCCTGGTACCTCCAGGTGGCAGAGAGCCTGGAATTATACTGACCAGATGGTTGATGGGGCCACTACACCATGGTCTTCCATGCAGGCCCCTGGGTACCTCCCTGGCCCTGGTCCCCATTCCCTCCTCACAGCACTGGCACATGCTGGCCCCCACACTGGTGCCTGGCCTCTGCCCCCTCCCGCCCTGGTGCTGAGTCTTAGATGCTGTTCTCTTCCTCTGCACCCAGCCTACTCATCTTCCACATACCAGAATGAAGGCCATGATGTTTCTCATCAGCTTTTTCCTCTGGGCTAATTTGAGTTTGGGAATGATGGCACACCTCATAGAACAAAACTTTTCAGGACAACGAGTCCTGACCACATCAAACACCTAGGCAGTTGTTTCAGGGTCTATGTACTAGTTCATGCGATCCATACAAAACATCTTTGACACTGGGACACTGCCACCCTCACCTTGCAAAAGATAAAACAGGACTCCACAGTGCCACATTCCCTTGCCTCCCAAGAAGCCTCCTTTGCCACCTTCTACATAGTGTCTGTGCAAACCTGAAAGCCACCCTGAGCTTGGGGTATACCTGATAAATCTATAAAACATGATGCTTAGTAGCCATACTGAATAGTTGAAAGAGGAAAGTCACGTTGAATGCTATCACCTTGTCTGCCAGGAAATTTTGATTAAAAGTTGTTTTTCATTAAAATTTATTAAACATAGAATTATGTTTATTGCATCAACCTGGGGCTGAGACAAAGTAACTCCACCATCTTCAGTGAGTGTGGCACTGCTGGGATTTATCAGGACTAAAATTGATCATATGGCATGCTCAGATTATAACAGACATAAACCAAAACCAAATGGACAACAGGACAAGCTTGCACCTGCTTAGGAAGGTACAAGGAAAACATGGGCAGAGAAAACACACTGGTCTGGAACTTGAGATAAAGCATGGCATGTGATGCCCCGTGAGCAGACAGACAAGGTGGCGGGCATGTGGTGGGGGAGAATACTGACCCACTCTCACACTGCTTTGGGGCTGTGTGGTAGACTCCAGTAGCTCTAGCCAGCAACTGTCACCTGGCTCTGGTGTGTGAGGGCTGGAGCCAGGGGCTGTGCACCTCCAACCTTGTATCCCACCTGCTCTAAACAGCTGCTAACTGAGACTAACGACCATGAGAACTTCAGAAATAATTTTTTGTTGATGTGAAGTAAATTCTCTACAAGAGAGCAGTGCATCCAATCACAGACTGTCTGTCTGCATCCTGGGCCTCATAAATCAGAGTTTAGAGAGGGAGAGGAAAAGATACTGAAATTTACAATGAGAGTGCAGTGGGAAATTTGCTAGGGTGGGTGAGTGTGAGGCTGGCCCTGTTCAGTGCTTTCCTCTCATTCTGGCCTCAAATTAGAAGGATGGGGGTGCTCCCTATAGGTGTGGGCTGATAAAGCATTATTTGTCAGGGTCTTCGACCATAAAGTGTACAGGGCCGAGCCATTAGCTTTTGTGGGCTCCCCACAGCTGTCTTCAGCAGCAATCATGTCTGAGCAGGACTCATTGGAAGAAGGCGGTGTCTATCAGACCTCCCTGAAACTGGCTTTGGGAGCCAGGTTTGCCTGAAAATGCAGGGGTTTTTGTTGTATTTAATAAAATACTTTCAGCATAAAGTAGACCTGCACGGCACTGCCAGCATGTTCCATAGGAGGGCCACATCCATTTGGGGGGTGCCAAGACAGCTTCCTGGAAGGCCAGAATCACAGGACAGTGATGGGTGACATCTGGCTCGTGACAAAGCCACTCTATCTCACTCTGTGGGACTTGTCTTCTATAGTGCTTCTCAAACTGAGCTGTTGGCACCTGCACAGCTCCCAGGGACAGAGAAGTGCTTTACATTTGGGGCAGGAGTGGAAGTTGTTTGGGGCAGGTGCAGTGGGTGTGAGGGAGCAGTGTGGGGAAGGCAGAGTCTGTGGCAGCACCATCACCTGCAGCCCAGGCCACAGTTGGAGGTAGGCTTGTAAAATCCAACTGGGAAAAGCCTGAGTTTCAAAGGTTAAGTTTCACAATAAACAGAAGACGGTGGCTTGTAACTATATGCAATTGTTTAAATAAAACACAAAAATGAGTTCATTAAGCCCCATTAGCTGGTGAGAACAGATGATCATAAATTGGAAGTACTGGCAATGCCGCTTAGCTGAGATCCTGCCTCTGGCTTTCCCCTCAAGCTATAAAACAAGATTGATGGCAGGGTGTTCAGACGGCACACGGCTATGCCACCAGCCTTTGTGTCTGTGACAAGGAAACCCCTGCAGGATAGGCTACCCCTGCAAGGAGTCCAAGGTGGGTTTCTAGAATATAGCAGACTGCTTGGAAACAAGGCCTGGGCATGTGAGAGTCACTGGCCTCACTAGGCAGCCTACCTCTGCACTCATTGGCCAAGGTGGATCCCATTCAGTTCCTGGAAGGGTCCTGAGGGTTTGTGCTAGAGCCTTTGTTTCCTGTGGTGCCTCCTGCCAAGCTGCTCCCACCCTCTCCTAACTCCTGAAAATTTGTTCTTCTGTCCTCTACGAGGTACAAAGCTATCCTTGCCATCCTGTATAGAGAGGGTTTCAGCACAACAACAGACTGGATGAGAGCTTTGGTACCCAGTTCCTAAGGTGACTGTTTTCCAGTCTTGAAGTTAGGATGCTGTTTGATGTGGGCATTTCAGACTATGTGCTTCCTGAAGGCGGATCCAGATAGATATGTTTCCTTTATTTCAAGTTAAGGTTTAGGGGACATCAGTTTCACAGATCCCATGAGTGCAATCTGAGTGCTGGGTTCAGCAGGGGTCTCTAGGGGATTTGGTAAGTCACATGCATTTACCGTGAATAGTGGTACGCTAGTGCCAGATGTGCTGCTAGCTGAGGAAGAATGGAGGAGTTCCTGCAGGGATGCAGCTCTCAGGCATGAGACCACCCTCTGCAGGATTGCCTGACACTACAGGTGCCACTTTCTGGTATGGCAAACTCATCATTTTCTTTTTGGAAGACAGAGTGTTCACTTGAGACAATGGGAGACAGGACACCTACCCGTAATGATGCCATTCTTCTCCAGAGGCTCCTGCCAGCTGACTTTGAGAGATGTGTCCAGAATCTCTGTGAAGCTCAGGTGGCCCACAGCTCCTGGTTCTGACAATTAAAAAAAGAGGCATCTGTAAGCCTGAGAGCCCGACTCTCTTTTGATCAGATGTCTGTGGTAGGTTTAAACTATGGAAAGGAAGTGGTGAGCCAGGGCCAGCAGGAACCTGCAGGAAATTTCAGAAAAAAATGCAACGGGAATATTGGAACTGGTATTGAAGGTGTCCTAGCTGTGACTGCATGAATTATTTTGCCCAGCACCAGCCCAGCTATACTGAGAACTAAAGTAACAGGAAGCAGGGGTTTATGCACAACACACTTTCTATAAGTAGTGCAATCAGGCCAGCTAAATTCTGAAGAGCAAAAGCTTAAAGAGGATGCTTCTTAACAGGCAATTTGTAGCCTTGGGCCTGCTTGTGAGGGGGCCTTGAGGGATCTCGAGCAGAAAGCCTCAGCCTGTGGACCATATCTGAGCTATAGGCAAACCTGGCTGACCTGATCCAGACTTCAAGTCTCTGTTCCTTTCCACAGGGATTCCAAAGGGTCAGGTTAGGGCTGGAGAAACCAACAGCGAAAATGGTTCTTTCCCAGGAGATTTTCTGTACTGCAGCCCTAAGGCTAGGAGGGTGAGTAGAGCAGCAGAGACAAAGCTAACATTGGAGGTAGAGCTGGGTTTCAGAATTTGCACATATACTAGCTCAGTAGTAAAGCCTTCATTTACTCATTTGTGAAATGGGGAGAATACAAATGGCTTTTCAAGGTGATTGAGAGACAAAATATAATAAAACATTAGGGTGTTGGCCTGTTTCTGGCACTATGAAAATGTTGAGTGAGCATTCAGCAGCAGCATCCTATAGTCAGAGGAAACAGTCATTTCTAAAATGAGATTAGTGCCACCAAAGAGAAGATCTGAGAGCCCAAAACTGGAGTTTGTGACTTAAGCTTAAGGACATTTGGCTACAAAGGAGATGGATGGGTGGATGGATCTAGCACAGCAGGACTGGGAATGAGATGTCTGTGGGCTGGACAGCACCTCACTCCTCAGACTCCTTTTGGGTTCCTGCCCTGTCCTGGTAGGTTTGGTCCTAGCTGCATGATGGATGGAGGGAGTAAAGGTAGCTGAGGGTATGTGTGCTCTGAGCAAGGAGTCTCCCAGCAGCAGCAGCAGCAGCAGCAGCAGCAGCAACAGCAGCAGCAGCAGCAGCAGCAGCAACAGCAGCAGCTATTCAGGGTCTTGGAGAGCAACAGAAAAGGTTGCTTAGGAGGGCTGATCCCCACTGTGCACCATGCCTGGTGCTAGATGGCTCTCAGAGGCATCTCCTGGTCTGGGAGTTTCCCAACCAAATGCAGCTGATTTGCTCAGGTCTGCCTGCTTCAGAGCCTGAAGCCTCTCAGACAATGTTCCTCATTCTTATCCCTCTCCATACCCAATCTGGGAGAAATGTAAGGGACTGAGTCCTATATAAAAGACGGAAGAAAGGGTGGCTCAAAGGTGACAAAGGAGGCTAATAAGATGCCTGGCAAAGAGGTAAGAACAAGATTGTTATGTGTATAACTTGGTGGGGAACTTGACATAGCAAGGCAAATAATACTCAACTCCCACTTGAGCCTGTTGAGCGAGACTGAGATTTTTTTATTCATAAAAATGCCTTTAAAAAAACCTTAAAGTCAAGGGAGAGCACAAAGCCAATGGAGATGCCTGGTCTGCAGGAGAGGGGGAGGGTCTGTGGATTCCTGCAGGGAAGCTTCACTGCCCTTCACGCTGACTCCTGCTGGTCTTGTCTGCACAGGAGGCAGATTTTAAAGTGAATTCAATATTGAGTTCCCAAGTGGTACTTAGACAAAGCTTCCTAACACATCTTGTGATTTTTAAAAAATAGTAACAGTCTTGCGAACCACATTCACCTCAGTGAAACCCGCAAAACGTTAGGAAGAGCTCAAACACTGACAAATGCCACTTTCCTCACATAGCAGACAAGAAAATGGGATGGCTGTCAGGACTATGTCAGCCTCCCTCAGCCTGAGTGTGAGAAAGACATTCTGATGGGTTTCTGAACTGATGCATTCTTTTTCGATCAATGGAGTAGCAAAGAAAGCTTTTTGCTCCTTTTATTTTTTTCAGTGTTTCTGTTTCCTGGATTCTTGCCCAAATATGCTGCCCTCTAACTCTGTTAGAACCAACTGGCAAATTCATATTCTGTTTCTCTTTTCTTTCCCATTGCAAACATCTTTGTACCCCATTGGAGTTTTGGAGAATGGGCCTGGTACGGAGGAATCAATAGCACTACCTTGATGACACACAAGAGGTATCTCCAGAGGGTCCTAGCTCAGACTTCTTTTTACTGGCCCAATTTCAACTTTGCTTTCAATTTCAAATTTACAAGGATGCTGTGTTCCACCAAATAGGATAAACAACCTGAACCACAAGAACAGAAAGATTGTTCAGTTAGAAAATTCTAAGTGAGTGACATTGCTTTTAGCTTTGCTTTTGCTGAAAGCAGATGCCATAGCAAAATAAATATATTTTAAGCACTCACCAAATGTGCACCAAGACAGACCACATCCTGGCCCAAACCCTCAAACTGAATAGAACTGAAACTGGAGAAAGTGTATTCTCCAAAAATGGAGTCAGATTGCAAATCACAGCAAAAAGACACCAGGAAAATCTCCAAACACATGAAAATTAGTTATCACTCTTCAAAACAATCCGCAGGTCAAAGAGGAAGTCTCAAAGGAATAAGGAATACATATGATCAAATGAAAAGTAAAACTATGGCCCATCAAAATATGGGTGATGCCGCTAAAGCAACATTGAGAGTAAAATTAATAGCATTAAATGGTTATGTTGGGGAATGAGGAATAATCTAAGTGTTTCTTTAAGAAATTAGGAAAAAGAGAGCAAATAAATCCAAATCAAGCAGAGGGAAGGAAATTATAAATGTAGAAACAAATGATATTGAAATACTAAATAATAGAGACACTCAATGAATCAAGAAGCTGATTCTTTTTAAAAATCAGTAGGCTTGATAAACCTCTGGAAAAAAAATGACAAAGTTAAAAAAAAGCAGGAGATACAAGTTGCTAGTGTCAGGAAACAAATGGAGATTATCTCTACAGTCCCTACAGCCATTAAAAAAACAATTAGGAAACTTGAAAAATAATTTTATAATTATACATCCAAACTCTTAGACAGTCAATTACTAAAGAACAACAAACTACTAAAACTCAGCCAAGCTGGGCATGGTGGCAAAGGCCTGTGAACTCAGTACTTGGGAGGCTGAGGCAGGAGAACTGCTACAAGTTTACTGCAAACCTGAGCTACATAGAGTTTAAAGGTCAGTCTGTGCTATATACCAAGACCCTGTCTCAAAACAAAAATAAAAACAAACAAAAAACTCAGCAAAGATGAAATAGACAACCTGAAAAGTTCTATAACCATCAAAAAATTGAATTTATAATTCAAAGCCTCCTAAGAAAGAAAACCATAGGGTTTTACTGGAAATTATACCCAACATTTAAAGAGGAACTGACACTGGTTTGACATAGTCCCTTCCAGAAAACAGAGAACCATTTCCAAATATTTCCAAACATTTTATGAGACAAGTATTGTCTTGATACTAAAGCCAGACACAGCACAGGAAAAAAAAAATAGGAAACCACAGAGCAGTATCTCTCATGAACTTAGATGCCAAAATCTTCCATAAAATACCCAGCAAGTGAATCCAACAGCATATAAAAAGAATTATACACCGTGACCAAGTGGGATTTATTCCAAGTGCACAAGACTGCTTCAACATTTCAAAACCAATCAATGTAATCCAACATATCAACAAGGTAAGATGAAAAACCACATGATCACATCAACTGATACAGTAAAAGCAGGTGAAGATATCCAACATGTATTCACTACAGAAGCGTTCAATAAACTGAGGATGTAATAGCAGGGATCAATCCCAACTTGATAAAGAACATCTGCAAAAATATCCTACTCAGTGGTCAAAGGCTAAATGTTTTCCCTTCAAGATGGAGAAGAGGAAAGAATGGCTGCTTTCAGTGTAGCACAAGGAATTCAAGCCAGTGCAAACAAGGTAAGGAGACAAAAAGGATGTACATTAGAGAGGAAGATGGGCAGAAGCTGGGTTTGGCTACAGAATACAAACTCTGAGGAGTTCTGGGGTGTAGAGACTATGCAGGCCCTTGGAGTTGGTGATGGGGAATAAACCTTTACTTGCTACACACTGTAGTGAATATGTGCACAGAGAAGGACAAGCAAAACAAGAAACCCACATTAGGACACTGAATGGTATCAAAGTCAGAAGCCTGTTTGTGATGCTAAACTATAGTTTTATAAATGTGAGCATCGGAAAGAACCAGGCACATATATATGAGCATCTCAGTGCTATTTCTTACAGCTGTATGGGAATCTATAACTCTCAATAAAAAGTTGAGTTAAATATAAAGCAGAAGACACATTAAAGTTAGAGTATGAAAACTTCCAGGATCAGTTATTAGCAACAGAAGTGCTTTTCTTTTCTTTTTTTTTTAAATCTTGAAGATCTGTTAGTGATCTCAAAGGATCAAAAACCATTCTGCTTTTCCGAATGTAGACCTGTGGCTGCAGCAGGTTAGCAGTGTGAAAGCCAGGCTGCTGAGGGGTAGGAAGGCATGAGAGGTCAGGGGTCAAGGCAATAGTTACATGGAATGGAAATAAAGAGTTCACTGGGCAGTTCAATGGGGAAGCCACGTCAGAGCTGCCCTCCCTGGGTGAGATACATGTGAACATATCTGAAGGTCAGAGAAAAGATGCCCATGGCCAGACCATTGGAAGAAAGAACAAACAGGATCATGAAATGGAACTGGGAAGAGAGGAAGAGGTTAAGAACTCAGGGTGGGACAGAAGGGAGCCAGGCAGCTTGTTCTGGGGGGCTTTGACCTCTGCAGTGCCACATGCTGGGAATCTAGGGCCAGCAGCAAGTGGAGAGCAGCCTGAGAGGCTGAGCCAGACCCCGATCAGCAGAGCTGGTGGGAGCTGGCAAGAGATGAGGGCAGCATCAAAAATCATATACACTCTTGGTTTATCTCTCCTTATAAAGAGAAGTGTACACTTGTGGTAGACATGGGAAAATACTGAAAAATACAAAGAAAGTATTTTAAAAATCTACAACCATATCACAGAGACAGTAACTCTCAGAATTCTATACAAATGTATCTTGATAAAATTTAGATCTCATATGGTTTTGTAGGCTTTAAAAAAAACTTTTATATCATGACCATTAGTTCTCCCAAATTCAAAGTTTTATTTTTCTAAAGAGCTATGAAATATTAATTATATTATCATTCTGTAATTTTTTCCAATATTTTCCATTTGGAGCATTTGAATGCTTTTCATTTTTTTAAAAAAATTACAATTGTGATCAGTCTCTTCATATATCATCCATGTGTGTAGCTGTGATTATTTTCTCAGGAAGGCATTACTAGCCACTGTTTTCTGTCACATCAGCAGTTTCCAACAGACCAGATGGAGACAATGAAAAGTCAAAGACAAGGGGCTTAGAGATGCCAGGCTGAGACATCCCTGGTAGGGTCAGAAGGAGCAGCGGGGGCAGTAATGGTGAGCAATGGAGGAGGTAGGGGACTGGAAGTCCATCTGGGCTTGGCAGGACCACAGGAGCAGCCCCAGGCAGGATGAATCTCTCCATCTCTGTCCTTGGAACTGCCTCCTCTGGCCCAGCTCCTTCTGTCTTTCATGGGCCACTGTCCCTCAGGTGTGAGTAGCACCTCACAGTGACTGACCCTGGGTCGGGAGGCAGTGCTCTGACACCCTGACTTCCTCACATTGTCTCTGGCTTGGCCTAGTGCTAGATGTGATAGAGTGACACACTTCACACCTGACTCAGGGCACAGGGGCTTAGAGGAAGCCAAGGAGAGCAGTACTCACTGTCCTCGTGAGTCCACACGAGCTGCGGTGTGCTCGGGGGCCCGTCCCCTGGCGTGGTGAAGCACAGAACGGAGGTGAAGTAAGCAGTAAACTTCTTCAGGTTCGTGATGTACCCGTGGTGGATTCCGTGGAAATCTGGGGCAATGGTGACCACAGTCACTGCTTCGGGGACATCTGCTGGCCACGCTAGAAGCTGAGAGGGAATGAGTTAAAGAGAGATCCTTTTAAAGTGTGCTTTCTCACTCAAGTCTTGATCATGATTTTATTTTGTAGTACATCTTTAAAAAAAAGCACAGTCACAATTAAACCCATAAATCCTATACCTTGTATTTCAAAAAATTTTGGTTTTAAAGGTATCTCACACAGGATTACATACAAATTCATGTGTACATATACATGCATATATATTTTAAGCACACACATATAAGTAAAATAATGATTTGACTCCATTTTGGAGAAATGGACTTTCCCACAAACCTTCACCCTCTCTTCATGCCAGCTTGTATCGAACATCTGTATTTCTTAATCATAAGGGACAGTGATGACACTGTCTGTTAATTCAGTCAAATCAATCATTTATAATTTATATTGCATTTGTTTCCTGAGAAGGAATTGAGGACTCTGGTTACAATTTTAAAGAAAGACTATATATGTATATTCCAAGGAAAACTGTTTGATGTTTTGGTAACATTAGAAGCCGTGTGAGTTTTCATTTCTCTGACACCAAACATCTCTCAGACCAATTAGTTCTGAAAGCTGCCCGCTGCAAGATCTGCCTCACGTGCACAGATCACACTGACTGCCCAGACCTTCGGACCTCAAACAAGTGCTGCCATCTCGCCAGTCAGACCCAGCAGGAGAGTCAAGAGGGCTGAAGCACCTGGGCTGACCAGTGTGATTTGCTTTCAAAAAAGCTTCTGATTTTGGATACTTCTGAGAAAAAAGGAAAGGCAGGGACAATTTTTAGCTATGCTTGCCTTTCTAGGAGACAAGTAAGCGTTTTAACAAGTTGAACTCAAATGAGAAAAAACAAAAAATAAAACAAAACAAAACCAAAAAACCAGCATGTCTGGGAAATGATCCACTCTGAAGCTGAAATCACCCAATTTCAAGCAGCAGGGATGGAATCCCTTCTGCACAAAGATCTCTGAGTGCCCCAGCCTGGAAGGAAGATTAGGGAGTATGCTGCACCCACACTTAGGGTGGCTCTTAGGCCAACCAGGGGAGGAGGACTAAAGTGACAAATAAGTTGTACTTTATGAATCGTACCTGAGTCCATCTATGAACCATATTCCAGTGAGGGTGGATGGTGGGAATTTGTTTCTAATTTGGTTTCGGCAGAAGCCTGAACCAACTGGTCTCTTTAAACAGAATTCCCTCTAAAGTAGAGAGGGGGAGAAATGAACCTCCTTCCTGGATATAACTCCTTGCTCTCTGCTTACAGCATGCATTATGCCCAGGTGACCTCCACCCAGCAAGAAGTGGCTTGGACACACACTGACTCTAATCAACCCAGACAGCTCTCCCATTGGCCACTGAGAACGAATGGCTTTTCTCATAAGAAACTGCTCTCTTATATATGCACGATCTTGATAACCGATCATTTGAGTTTCTGAGCCAAGAGAGCTGATGGTAAGACCTTGGATAAATGACCACCTTGCCAAGGTTGTAACACTCTGTATTTGATGCCTGGAGTTCCTGATGAAATGGGAAGGATTGCCTCCCTGGCACAACCACGGCATGGTCACAGAGCAGAAAAACCACCCTGAGGCTCCAAGCCAGGCTGGTAGTTACCTTATATCCCTGGTTGATGCCGTTGATGAACTGCTGCGGAGGTGGATTCCAGAGGAACTGGACAGTGGTGGAGTTTACAGCTTCTGCCTGCACATTCTGTGGGGGCGCAGTGGGCACTGTTCCAAGGGGTCACAGAAGACAGCAAAACAAATGGCAGGAGGCACCGTGGGGAGGAGAGATGAAAGCGAAAGCCTCAGCTGCCACTCATGATTCACAGGCAATTACAGTACTGAGAACAGGGAAGTGTGATGAATGTTTTTGGAAGCTAATAGTGGCATTACAAAGAAAGAGAATTGGGCTCTTTCTCATTTTCTATTGGAGAATTCCTTAAGGCACAGGCAGAAAACTGGACGCGAGCATCTTCTTATTCCACAGATGAGTCTTTCCCATGGATGCAAGATGAAGAGCAAGCAAAATATTTCTCTGATTCCTTTTTCAATTACCCACCAGTTGAGATTAAGACCAAGTTTCATCTAAAAGTCACCCCCCCAACACACATCCCCTGCCATCACACACAACTATTTCAAGTTAAATTATTCTTTATGGTAAAGAAACAAACAAAACAAGGCTGTCACCTCCACCCCATATGTATTATTGCTTATGTTTCTGGAAGATAAGTTAGTTTTTGTCAACACAGCCAACTATTTTTTGGCTTTTTCACTGTTACTCTCTTTCACTGAACAGCTACAGAACCCAATAATACACCTGCGAGACGTATGTTGAAGGGGAGATGATACCATAAAGGTGACCAGGGCAGCAAAGGCACAGAGTAGAAAGGCTGTCTTTGCTGAGGGGGTAGTGCTTCATGGAGGCTGTGTTGGAAGAAGGGCTCAACCTTGACAGGATACCAAGCTTGAGAAAGGCACTCTTGGCTGTGAACAGTGGGGAAAGCTGGTATCAGAAAGAAACCTGATCAGTATGGCTGGTTGGGATGTGCGGGGAAAGGGGTTGAGGGGGTGGATCTTCTTGAGGATTAACACAATGGTCAGTGTTGTATATAGACAATGGGGATTGAAAGTTTTCTGGAAAAAGCACTGGTGTGACAGGACTAGCTTTCAAAGAGGATAACCTAATGATCTACAAACAACAGACTAGACACTGGCTGGATCATTAGACTTTGGAGGGTTGAAGGGACAGTTCTGGTTCTTTTGGTGCTTGTTTGAAAAGTAAGGTGCAGAAGCCCAAATATGGCCCTGTTTAGAAGTACATTTCCTGCAGCTTTCTTCCTCATGACCCCACCTCATCAGATTAAGATGAAAAATCTGAAAATTCATCATGCTCTCCAGTCTTCTCTTCCAAGCCATGCTCACTTTGCATTTGCCATTGGCCATGCGTTGGAATCCCCTAGGCCAGTGATGGCAAATTTTAGAGCTTTCAATGAAACAAGTGGCTCACTGTGGCATGTGTGCTAAAGGTTTGCCATTTCCCCAGGCTCTCCCACCACAAGTCACCAAGAAATTCATTAACACCTCCCTTTCAGTACCCAGGTAAAATGTGTGCTAAAATTTGCCACAGGGGTAGCTGCACCTGGGATCTAGAAAGTTGGACAGAATATCATGTCTACCTAAAACAAGAAAGAGCTGAAAAACAACAAAATCATAATTTTGTAGGAGTCCATAAAGAGCTGAAGTTGAATGGCAATTGTAGCCTGAAATACTATACAGGGAAAGATGACTAGAGAGAAAGAAAGACAGACAGAGAAAGAGAGACAGACAGACAATAGCTTCCATGTAATTGGGCGAGGAACATTCAAGTGACATCCTCAACAACTGCTGAGTGTGATCACATAATAGGAGATAGTCTTTGGGAGTTGTAGACTCACAGGACAGATACTTTACACACAGAAGAACAAAGAGAATGAAGAGTATTTCATTGGAGAATTCAACCAAGAACTTGAGGAATAATTAAACCAATTTAAAGTATTAATGATACCAAGAGTCATGGAAAAAATTAAAAATCATAGACCAGTATTCCTTGCCAAAAAACATACCAAAATATTAGAAATCAGATTTCACATGTAAAAATCATAATATATCCTGATCAAGTTGGATTATGTTTTAAATGCAAAGTTGGTCCAACATTTGAGTATCAATCAAGGTAAGACATATTGATGGAATACAAGTAAAACAAGCATGATTATTTTAGCAGTTTTAGCAAAAATATTTGATAATTTTAAATATCCTAGTATGATAAAACACAACACAACAAAACAAAAATCTCTATTTTAGCTGGGTGTGGTGGCACAAAACTGTAATCCCAGAACTCGAGGCCGAGCCAGGAGGATCCTTGGGGGTTTGACCCCAGGCAGAGCTTACCTAGTGAGTTCAAGCCCAGTCTGAACTATGTAGCCAAAACAAAACAAACCAAAACAACCTCCAAGAAAAGCAAGAATTGAAGGAATTTTATAAACTTAGTAAAAGCCATCTATAAAACATTCACCTCTAACATCCTGTTTAAGCTAACAGACTGAACACTGTCTCCCTAAGATCAGAGACAAGGCTCTATTATTTTTCTGTAGGTACAAATTGGTATAACAATGCAAGAAAAAGAAATAAAAGGCCACCGACCAAAAGGGGGGAGAGAACTGCTCTCCATTCACAGACAATATTATAGCTCTGCAGAAAACTCCTGAGCATCAACACAACAAAAGCTTCTAGAACTAAGGTTAGTAAGATCACAAGACATGAAATCAAAATGTAAAAATCAATTGTATTTCTAAACACAACCAATAAATAATTGGAAATTAAAACTGAAAAATCAGTAGCATTTAAAGTAGCAGTGAAAACATGAAATAGATATAAACATAACATTATGCAAGATCTGTATTCTGAAAACTACAAAGCACTGATGAAAGAAATCAAAGCCTTGGGTAGATAAAGAGTCCTAGCATATTAATGGATTGGAAGATGACAGTAAAGGGAATCCTCCTCCTCACTGATCTGTGCAGCAAATGCAATCTCAATAAAAAATGCAGCTTGATAGATTTCAAGATCAGAGAAGGTGATTTTAAAGTCTCTATGGGAAGGTAAAATAATCACAGTATCCAAAACAATTTTGAAAAAAATTGGACAAACTTCATTGCATAATTTAAAGGCTATAAACCTAGGGTAATTAAAACAGTGTTACTGGAAAACATATGGATATAAATAACACAGAATAGAGGCCAGACATTTCTCACACATATATGAGCTAGTCATAAATAAAAGCACATAGGTAGTCATTGCACAAATGATGCTAGAAAAATTGGATATTGATATGCTAAACAGAAAACAAAGAGGGAGAGAGGGAGAGAGGGAGAAAGGGAGAGAAGGAAAGAAGGAGAGAGGGAGAGATGGAGAGAGGGAGAGAGGGATTTGGATCTATACCTCACACTATATAACTAACTCAAAAAGGACTATAGGCTTAAATGCAAACCTACATAAACCTGTCATGATAACATTTCTGGGAAACAAGTAGTTGTAACATTGGATTAGGCCAAAATTTCTCAGATACAACATCAAGGAGACAATGCACCAAAGAAAAAATAAAGATAAACATGACTTTATCAAAATAAAAACACTTCTGTATGACAAGCACTGGTAAGAAAATGGAAAGACTGGTCACAGATCAGGAGGCTATGTCTGTAAAAGCTGCCCTATAACCAGTAAGGGACTTTTATTCAAAATACATAGGAACTTTCAAAAGTCAATAACAGGAAAGCAAATAAATCAAAATATGGGAAAAAAGGATCAAATAATTATTGTGTCAAAGAAAATGTAATGGCAGGAAATATGAAAGACCCTTATGTGAAAGATCCTCCTGATGGCTGGCAATCAAGGAAATTAAAATCAGGATGTTATGGTTGATAGATTGTGTCAACTTGAGAAGTTTAGTTACTAAGAGACTCAGCAGGGAGCCAGGATCTTTACTTTGTAAATATCCTCAGCCTGTGCAACAGGAACTGGCAAAGAGGTAATATGAGTGCTACACCCTCCCTAGGAGGGCCAGTAGCTTGCTTACAATACAAGAGAGAACAGGCTTGTGTTTCCCTCCTTTTTTTTTTTTTTTGTCTTTTTCGTTTTTATCGGTACCAGGGATCGAACTCACGTCTACCTGCTTGCAAGGCAGGCGCTTACGCCGCTGAGCTAAATCCCCAGCCCCCGTTTCCCTCCTTTTTTTGCTCTGGTTGCTTTTGCTGGCTGCAGCCTTGAACTGTTACCCCAGTGCCATACCACCTTGTCTTGGAGCTTGCTGATTATGGTCTGAAACCTCCACAAACAGTGAGCTAAATAAACCTTTCCTTCCTTCATTTTAGGTGTTGGATATTTTGTCTCAGCAATGAGAGAAAAGTAACCAAGACAATAGTATATCATTTATATGCCCATTAGAAGGGCTAAACTATAACAAGCAAAGAACATTAATAACCAAGTTCTGGTAAAGATGAGTAGCAAATGACACACTTGTAGATAGGAACACAAAGTGGTATAGCCATTGGTAGAGCAGGTTGGTAGTTTGTTATGAAACTAACATGTATAAGCCACATGACTCAGTAATTCTCTTCCTAGACATTTGGACAGAAAAAGTGACATTTTAAGTTCACACAAAAATCTGTACATAATATTTATGGTTGCTTTAACAATCTTCCCACATCATAACATCCCAAATGCTTGTCAACTGCTGGATGAAGAAACAAACTGATACACTCTTGGAGTGGAATAACACTCTGCAATGAAAGGGAACAAACTCCTAACCCGGGATGACCCAGGAGACTCTTGAATGCCTTATGCTAGAGAAAAGAGCCAGACTGAAAAGACTAGACATGGGGTTATTCCATGCTGTTTATGGTTAAAGGCAAAATCAAAGGGAGAGGAAGCACTAGGGATTCCTGAGGTCTTGGGTAGGGATAGAAGAGTGAGGGGAAAAAAAGGAAGGATGAGGAATCTGAGTGAAGTATTTTGTGCCTCAATGATGCAGTGACTTACAGGACTGCACACCACAAAGGATGACTTTTATTGTAGATAAATCATTGTTACAGTTGGGCCAATAATATTCCAGGTTCTCCCTTGGTGGGCATGGTGATCTCCTAGGCTTTTGATATTTTATTTTGTACCTCTCAGGATAATGGAACCAGGGAAGA